ACGTGGTCTGTTTTGAAGTTGCTGAATTTTAAGATTAGCCTGGTGGATTTCATTGTGCAGGCTGCTTTGCTTTAGTTGGTACTCTTGTATCTGCCTGTCTCGTTGAGCGACAAGTTTTTCCTGTTGAATCTTCATAGTTGCCATTTCTGTGCTATGTTGATTTTGTAACGAGCTCCGTAACTGTTCGCTAGTTCTTGTCCGTTCTTCGTTCAGCTCGTTAATTTTACGTTGAGTCGCTTGTTGCATCGCTTTAACCTTTTAAACATGAACAAAATACTTTTGGTACACTGTAAATAGTTATGTACTTCCATTTTTTGGTACTGTAAATATGTATGTACTTCTACAAAATATGCATGTACTTCCATTGAAAATGAAGCTATTTATACATCGAAATATTTGAGGTCATTTGTCAAATAAAGGGATACTTTTGTTTTCTATTCGGAACTTATCCACCGTTTAAGCAAAACGCCTTTCAAACAATCGGCCCCAACTATGCACCGAACAATTTTTTGTTTAAAAGTGATTAGGTTTGTAATGGTACTATATGTTCCCGCCCCTTATACAGTAAAGTTGGTCAGACTGGTCCTGTTGTATTATAATATACAGATATCTGATATTTTGTTTGGAGTGTTTCAAGAGCATTGAAATATATCGTTTTTTACATCTGCATACCTGTAGCCGGCGCGGGAAAGACAGTTTTACCACTGTAAATTCTTAGCGAAATACTCTATTTGAATTCAAAATTTGGCTGGTGTGACCATTTTGGCAATATGACGAAGGTGCAAAAAAACGGTAGAAGCAATTTCTCCTAAAAGTGATTTTTCCTAACCCCATAACTGATGAACAGTTGAAATTATCTAAAACGTGTTCAAGTCTTTGCCGATAACAATGCACTGCCACTGTATGCAAAATTATGTTAGAGAATTATGCACGGTAGCATAATGAAATAAAAATCGTTTTCCACTGATTAAATTAGCTTTATGCAATTTGATTGGACGTACGAGTCTTTCACGTTTGAAAAAAATGCCATACACGGCTTTTGATTGGGCGAACGATTTTTTTTACGTGTGAAAAATTGTCGTAGCTATGTCATTGTCAGGGGCGCCGGAATATCGATAATAACGGGGGCAGATATTCATATAGTCGTGTTCGCAGATCGTTAAAACAATCAATTTCAAAAGGAGTTAATAATGCAGAACACGAATATATGAATATCTGCCCCCGTTATTATCGATATTCCGGCGCCCCTGGTCATTGTTGGTGGCAATTTGCTTTCATTTTTTTTCAACATAGCGTCGAAATATAGGAGTAAAATTCAAAACATAATTCTCAAATTTCCAGACATTTTTACATCCGACACATAATAGAATCTATATAGAAACAGAAAAAAAGACTGAGAAATTTAAAATAATTTTTTCACGAGGGGATCCGCATACTGTAACAAAACGGGTTTCAGCTTAATTAACCAAGGGTGTGCATGAGAATCAAATGTGGGAAGATTAAAAATTCACGTACGCTTGACGAAGCTTGGTTTGCATGTCGCTGATATTGGTAGGACATTCACACACTCTATACTAAACCTGCCATTGTATTCACAAGCGAGTTAATATACTGCGTTTTGTTCAACTTCCCACCTCATTTAAGTGCTGCTTTGCCTGCGCCTCTTTCTGTCTTTGTAGCCGTTCCTTCTCTTTCTGTGAAATAAAGAAGAGGTTGGAATATATAAAGCTGGCTTTGAATGGCCAATTTTAACAATGCGGGTTACAACGATCCCGCTTTGGTCTGAGAAGTGACAAATACCGGAACGATTGAATATAATTATATATCGCTTTAAGCAAGTAAATTGAATAATTTCAAAAAAAATTATCTGAAAAACATTTCTCGCCGTGTAGAAAATTTGTTGGACGAAACACGTTTGTGGAAAAGAGGAGGGTTAGACCTCTGGTTTATAACCCCCCGGGAAGATTACACAAGAAATAACAATAACGGAATCCCAGCCTTTCTTGCAATCTGATTTACTGTAGCAGCGGAAAGAATATTACGATATCTGACCACGGTCCGGAATCCTATATTTTATGCTCGAGCGAAGGCGTATGTGTTTTGTTTTTCTAAAGATCAGTCACTCGCAAATTTTTCACTTTTTTATTTTAAAATATATGGACCAAATGATTATCACGATAAATTGAAGTTAAAATTAGTAAATTTAAAACAAATTCAGGTTTTGATTGGCTGCTTTTCGTAAAAGAAATAAATACTTAATATATACTTATTCTAATACTTAATAAAGTTATATACCGTTTTGCTCGGCCTATAGAAAATTATTATATACCACTTGTCAAAGTTTGGTGTTCGTAGCGTTTCATTGATCGAGAGCGAATCACGCGAGAGTGACGAAATTTTTTATGTCGCCCGCGCAACCCCCTGCAGAGTGAGATAACGTTTCCGGAACACATTTTTCTATCCGAACCTCGCAGGCGGTAAATAACATGTATTTATTTTTTTTACAAATCAGCAGATGGCGGAATCTTAGCCTTTCCTTCAATCTGATTAGCTGTAGCAGTCAGCTGAATTTTGCGATGTCTGACCATGCACGGTTCGGATACCTATCTTTTGTGCTTGAGCGAAAGCTATTTGTTTCGTTTTGTTTTGTTTTTCCAGACTATAGATATATTCGGAAACTTTTGACTTTTTTATTTTAAAATAATTTTATATGGATCAAATAATTATCACGATAAATTGAAGTGAATTTTAGTAAATTAAACAAATGAGGTTTTGATTGTTTATGTTTTTGTCGCCATTACTGCATGGGTCTCTCTGCACAATGATAACGCGACCGAACGCCACTTTTTGTAAAAAAATAAAGACATTATTCGCGTTTTGGTCGTTACGGATAGAAAAATATTTCCCCTCGGTCTCAAAAATATCCCTCGGCCTGCGGTCTCGGGACGTTTAATTTGTGACACCTCGAGAGAATATTTTTCTATCCGGACCTCGCAGCCGGTAAATAACATATATTTATATACAACATTCTGTGCATGAACAGCATGATAATATATAACATGCATGCATGCCTGCATGAAATTAAAATGTTATATTCTGTTATTACCTCTTTTTCTCGGCAGCTCAGTTCTAATCGATTCTTTTCTGATCTCTCTTTTTCTATCTCATTATTATAGTCCTCTAATTGAGATATAAATTTGATTACTTGTTCCTTCCTTTCCTCCAAACCCTGAAATAGATTTCGCCAGGAAACTGTTGTCAAGTATACTTTTCTCACAAGTTAAACAATTTTACGCTTAGCCTGAATTATGCGCATGCATATATAATAAGACGCAATATAATTTTAAAACCGTTTTATATTTATCGTGGTTTCTACATTCAGACATTGTACTATTTTATCGCAATTTAAACGTCCCCACTATCTTAGATTGCTACAAATATTTGTGTTTATTACGTTGATATTCAAAATATGTATATTTGATTTGTGTTGTCGCGTCTCACTGCATGGACTTTCCAGTTCAACTCCATTTTTCTACCACTTTAAAAACTTAAATTGAATTTTGTGTTGAGAAAACTTGGCTATATATACGTATTAATTTGTATCGAACCTATATTTGATAACGGTTTACATGCATACCTTAGGTTCCTTGCTTGTAGTCGCCTTCACACCACCGCATTAACAACAAAATGTTTAAACACGCACCTTTTTGAAGACATACTCGGCAGCTGGGCCAATCGCAGAGCTCCAATATTTGTCTTCTATTGTTTTAATGACAGTTATTATTTCTTCACACGACGGCTGGTGATTGTTCTCCAGGGCTGGTTCCAAATTTTCTTTCGTCAGTTTTTTGATTACTTCCTCGCACAAAGTTTCGGATTTTTCTCGATTTTCAGTCAAATATTGAAAAAGTAAACCACCCACGCATCGACCATCGCCATCGTATGATACGCACTTTTTCTGAAAACATAACCACAATTATGATAATCAGTAATATACAATAATCAGTGTGACAGTTGTCGATCCGACAAAATGCATCAGCGGCAAACTAAAGCCCTACATGTTTTCTGGGCTTGTACGAAACCCACGCGCGTATACACATCAGTTCGACCCAAGTTCGACCCAGGGGCGTATACACATCAGTTTTTGCTGGGAGGGAGGTTGGTCACAAATGAGACATACTCGTTGCTTTTATAAAAAAAAAAATCAATCCGAAAAAAAATCCGAACTACTTTGTTTTCTAAATTTCAAACGATATTAAATAATCTATTTTATTGTGCTACACTAGTTTTTTAAAGTTCTAGTGTATATTTACATGCATTAAGGTGGTTGATTTTTGCATTACGGTTTAGCCCAGGTAGTGTCGCAGCTTCTTGCAAGAACGATTTTCATTGGCTGAACTTTACAGTACATTTCTGTTTCAACCAATAGCATAGCTTCGTTCTTTAGAAAAGCATTATCCAATTGGACGAAAGCTTCCGAGCGGTCTGCGAATGTCCCCTGCTTAGACTGCGTAATATCGCTGTAAGGGGGGATGACACCTCTCACATTTACTTCAATGGTTCAACCATGCAAGATCAATCCGAGTAAGTTAACCTAACCTGGATTTGTTCGAACCTTAACGATGGATTTTCTCTGCGTCGAACAATGGTTAGAACAATGACGTTTCACGAAATTGTTTCGCTACTAAGACAAGAATGCTTCACATTATGCAATTATAGCTATGATTCTGGTATAAAGCATCATGACTCTAGTAGGTTCCGGGAGTAAACAATATGACAATCTGAGACGTACCTAACCTTACAATTTAGTGGACCTGCTATGCAATTAAGTTATCATTATTAATTTGTTTAGAAATCGATTTCTTTGTAACAAAATATTAGCATAGCACGGGACTTAATCGTACTAGGCCAAATGTTACATGATCCTTGGTCCAACTAGGAAATTGCTCTTCAGCTTTCTTCCTTACAGAAAGCAACCTGTCAGAGTGAAATAATTAATTTGTAGAAAGCACCACATGTATATTTGTTTTTATGTTGAGCTTTCAGTCTGTAAACCCGAGTTTGAGTTTTTTATCACAGCTTGCGTGATAAAAACTGTTATAAAAGCAGCGTTTATATTATATGACAAGTTAATTGCCTCCATGAATGGCTGTGGTAAAAGGGACGAAAGCTTTGCATTAAGCAAAAAGACGTGGTGTTTTCTACATTATTGACTCACTTTTCAAGATTTCAAGAATGCTACATCAGAATTAGTTTAATTGCATCTCAATAAGGAAATTCGTCAGTTCTTATATAAAGTATTTATACAGCTGGAAAGCTGCATCCCAAAACTAGTAAAATTTGGTTGTGAAATGTTTCCGAAAAGTGGTAACTCTTTTTCGAACATAATACTAATTTGTACAAAATTCGCCGAACTCACCCGGAGATATTTTCGCACTTAACAATATTTCCCCACCATACTTTCCCTTTCGGATGCTCTTTCCAGTTGTATATCTCAGAAACGATGAATTTCCTTATTTCAAAATTTACTGTGATTGGGGTATGGTGTTATGCATTAATAATTGCGGTATTTACGAGGAATAATAATTATAGTATACCGTGAACTCCTTAAGATTTGCCTCGATGTGCTCCACGTCAGTATCCATTAGAGTCTCTTTTCGGAATACTTCAATGGCTTCCTCTATTCCAATTTCATGTTTCTTCATCACCGCATCTTCATCACATGGAAAAGTTCGACTTAATGGGTTTAAAATTTTTTCGTAGGCCATGATTGCTTTTTCTCCTGTTCAAAGTAGAAGAACATATCAGAACTAAATAATTTATTAAACCTTTCCTTCTTTGCTCAAATGATATGGGAAAAGCGATATATCCGAGAAAAACTTTTTTTGCGCATGCAGGACCACCTTACCAGCCCTTTTGTACGCCATCTTGACAGTTAATTCCCAAGCTGATTGCCAGTCTGGAATGTAGCCCTTTGTGTTCAGTGCATGAACGTAGCTTTCAAGCATATCCGCCAATTCTACAAAAATTAAGTAAATGTTGCTGACGATAGTGTTATTGTAGATTTTTTACGTAATGCATGGGCAAATAAATAATAGCTTTCTGCTTAGAATGCAAAAAGGAAACTTTTTTGTAACGAAAAATTATTATCATTCGAAAGAACGCCATATATATATAGGCATACGTATGTGCAAAATGTCGTAATGACGTAGTCAATATTTTTAAACTTTATTTTGCCGAGCCAGATAGTGCTTGCAAAATCCTCATAGGCATTGCTAAATGTGGACTTATCATGAAAATCGTGGTGGATTTTCCCTGCGTGGGGCCAAAAACTAGAACATAGAGATACAAGTTTTTTATAATTACTTCGCGAATTCGTTTTTGGCCTAGAACCCTCGCTTGCAATATTCGTTAGACCCAATGGCGTATTTAGGGTGTACTCCAAGTAAATTATTTTTTTCATTGAATAATTTTTCACCGACTTTCATTTCAATCCGAGATGGCCATAAAAATGATGAGATATTTATTCAATTTTACTGTTTTTACAATTCTGAATTTAATTTAAAGGCTTGCTTGTGAGCAAGGATTGATTTTACAATATTAATATACTGCTACTTACGTGTTCCTGTAAGGAGGGAGTTATTAATCCCCTTTTTGGAATGATACTTTTCAGAGATAATTGTTTTTAGAATATCAAGTTTCACCAGGAACTCTCCATTGATATTCTTGTTGTTTTTTGGCTTTCCCATGTTCTTTAAGACATCTCTCTCGTGGGATGGAACAGGCAGAGTAAAGGCATTAATTGATCTGAAGAATGACTTGATACTCCTGCGAATTTCGTTCCTTTGATTTGCTGCTTGTGATATACCCTTCTCGTTCTTTAGTATCTGTTAAGTGCAATTGGTCAATTCATGTAGACGCATAACGATATTATATATAATGTGCAATAATAAATTTTTTCACAATGACAATAAAACTTTTCTATGAATTTGTGTAAACTGCAGCAGTTCATTTGTTGTTAGCCGGATAGAAAATATTTAACTCACATTTTTAAATTGAATTCAAGGGCAGGGGCGAAGGTAGACGCCTAATTATGGCGAATTTGTATATTCGTGTCGTGCTCAACTGTCTTTCGAAACCGATTGTTTTTAACAGGATTAAATTACTATTCCTCAACTAAACCAAATTAAGAATATTCATCGGTACAGCTGCTAAGAGTATCCCAAACTTGGTTGCGAAATATTGCAAATTGGGATGCTCTTTCCAGATATACTTCTTCATTTAATAGGGCATTCCGATTTTCATGGATCACCGGCAGTCGGCGATGTATTTTTTTTCAAAATCAAAAACACTTTATTCTTTAGTGATCATGAACAATAGCAATCGCCGAGTGTCGGTGCATGCAATAGTATAATTATACTGACGAAGGTCGAATCGTCGCAATACGTTATTTTCTATTTTAGAAAATCACAATTTGTAGTACATCAGATACCAAGTTTATTAAAGAGTCTGCCAAGCTTCGCCTTGATTATATTCAATGTCACACCATAGGTAAAATCTCATTGAAGTTCTTTTATAAATTACCTTTTGTTCAAGATAGGTTTTTATGTCTACTTGTTTTTTATCTTCGTTTGTAATGTCAAGAGTGACGTCTCGGATGAGCCAAAAAAACTCAGGAGAATATTCCTTAAATTTTGCCACGTCCTCGCTGGTATTCTCTGCGTTGCTGCGAACACGGATGCTGTCGGAGAGCTTTGATACGTAACTGAAAGTTAAAATATTTGTATTGGTTGCCGCTGTTAGGCACGAGTATTCTAGCTTTTTAGAACCAAACTAAAGATACTGAAATAACAATGCTCGCATCAGGTAAACCCAAATCTCGAAAACTCGCCTGCGCGAGCCTCACGTCAGCGTCATTTAAAGTAGCTGAGCAGCACATTTAACATCAAAATTTGCCTAATTTTTAGTATTATTACTTTCATGTACTGTGTATATACATGTATTATTAATTTCATGAACCGGAATTTTTTTAAATAATATTGATACGTGTATTACTCACTGTAGCTTTTCCAAATCAGAATTGTTAGGAACATTCTTACTGTTGTAGATCAGTAAGGAGCTCAGTAACACACTGAGCGTAAAAATCTGGTTATCTGTAGCATCTGTTGAATCTTTGCTGTCGATTGAGCCTATACCCTCCGAATCAAGAAAGACAAGAGTCGTTTCCTTGCCGGTTGTTAATGACTTCCTGATTACCTTTTTTCCAATCCAAATACCTGAACAAATTGCGATAATTCAGCTAAAACGTGACAAATTAATACATACACAAATCCTAGCCCCCAAAAATTCAACCTTGTACTCTGAGCGCGGAACGGATGTCTTTTGTATAATTTCAGTTAGACACGTATTAAGTCCCAGGAGAATATTCCCCTAAATCAATTGATTGAAAAATCCTGCCTAGAGCAGTGGAAGCCCGCATTAAGTTTTTTGTATTTAATTCACATTTCAAAATTATTTTTGTACAGAAACTGAATTACGCCTGAGCAAGTAATGGGGATATGTTTTCCCACCCACTCATTCTTCAATTTAATACTCAACCCCGTACCCAGGGCTCTTACTTTGGTCTCAATTTGACTTGCTCTGCCACATATTAAAAAAAATTAAAGCGCGATACCCATTGTTTCTGCCTTCATTGTGTGACCAAGACGGAAGGTACTACCCTGCAGTTGCCCCAACAAGTATGATTTTCCCGTACGGGCAGGACCGACAACGCAAACAATGCAGACAGGGCCAGTTATGGAGCGTAATATTTCAAGACCCTGAGTGCATACTGCCAGCCCTGTGCGATTGACGTTGTCTACTGGTTGAAGCTTCGCTTCGTCGTCATTCCATTTATAATTGTTCGGAATGCAAAGTGGTATAGCTCCATTTGTCTCCTCTGATTGTCTCATGCCACTCTTTATCGAAAATCTTGAAAAAGCATTTTCCAAAGAGTTCTGACGCTCAAAGCTAAGATACAAGATTAGAAATTTAGTACTTTATCCATGCCAACGAACATATTAACGTTTTTCTATATTTGTGGTTTGTCTAGCTTACTGCATATTTTAAATAAGTCTCGGCATCTTTATGACGTGTATAAATCGAAGTAAATGGAGGCGATTTACGATGGAACTTCAAAAACAAAAACACATAGCTATAGTTCATGTAATTTTGTACCACCGTAATGCAATAATGCATCGCTTCGAGCTTAGCTGAATAAGGTGATGTGTTCGCAGGATTTATTTGTTGGGGAAAAGGCACTTTTAGGGTGATTGTTAATAGGCGGGCTATTAATAAGCGGTGCAGGTTTTAAGAAATGGAGAAAAGTAAAAAAAACAACGTGAAAGTTATTATACATATTTTCACGACTATACAAATTGTCTTTTACCTTTCAATTTCTTACCTGGGCAGACCTGAACTAATTATCTTCAATTTTTCAAAAAGTGACGCTAGTTTTTCTATAACCCCAAATTTGTCACCGTTGTCATCGATGTGAATATCTAGAAATTGTAATGTGTCTTTGTAAGTAAAACTGAGCATGGCCCAATCTCGTTCCCAGGGCCTTTTTGGGACTTTGTATGGGGGGCTGGGGCAAGAGGAGAGAAGAGAAAAGGCCCCGGGATCGAGACGTTCGAACTACGGCGTTGCGTACGTAGAACGGATACTATATTGTAGCATTTAAGCATATTGGAATTCTATACTATTTCGGAATAATTCCGCTAACTACATAAATTAAGAAGAATCGTTTAACCAATCAGAAGTCAGAAGCGGCTGGCCAATCCCAGGTTTTTACGCTAGAACGACGGAATTGGTTTCATTTAGTTGTAAATATTTTTGCCTCGGAGCTGAACCTTGAATAAATAAAACGTTCTAGTAAAGGCGTTTTGCAGGCTATAAATATAAATAAATGAAACTTGTATAATCTACATGAAATAAAAAGTCGCTATTTTATTTAGACTGAACGGAATACAACTCTATAGGTTCACCTCCGACCCAATTATCTTTAAAGTTAACCATGACAAAAATTTTATCAAGTTAGCTTTATTATTTTTTTATTGATCGTGCACGAATTAAGGGGAATCAGAATTTTAGTTTCCTAAGAAAGCGACGGAATAATATATCTTTCCCGTAAAAGTAAATAATGCATAATAGACCAACTTACGATCTAGGTAACAACAAGGAAATAAATTACCACAGCTAAAAAGAGCATACCAAAATTACTTAAATTAGTATAATTGCCATGTTTGGTTGCCGAATGTGAAGTAATACGGAAAATATAGTCATTCATGCATGCAAAGTAGCCTATTTTGTATACTTTTTTACTACGGCTAAATTACTAAATTATTTAAACGCTTCCGGCCGTAGTAAAAAGGTATACAAAATTGTCAAATTCGCATGGCTATATTTTCCCCACTTTACAATAATTATTTCTCAGGCAAACTTGGCAATTTTACTAAGTGTAATATGCACTTTTCGGAAGTTCCCTTTTTGTCGCCTAAATCGAAAATTGGTCACTTACGCAAAAGCTCTATTAAGTTTATTTGCAGTATATATTTACAAACCATATGGAATTTTCTCAGATCCATATATAGTCCTGAGCTCCCGGATAATTCTATTCTGAAGAGGAGCTATTTCATGAATACAAATCGTTTTTTCTCGTGCCCGATTTTCCATCTTTTCCTCGATCCTTCCTTGAAAGTCTAACAAATATTATTAATTGTCAATTTGTGTGGCGAAAATATAATAAACTTGTATTCAAAATGCTTATCACTTATATTGTTTTTCAGTGCTATTGGAAAAGAAATTCATAAGGCTTGATTTCCACTTAAAGAGAAAATCGTTCGCTAGCGAAATATTTGCATGTTTTCTTTTGAAATGTGGACAGTCAAGCAAGAAAATATGTTAATATTTCACTAGCGAACTCTTTCTCCGCAAGTGGAAATCCACCCTAATGCATTCTCTTTTGCCTTTTGACATCGTCTTGGGAAACATCGAAACATTTGGAAAATAAAGCTTACTATTTCCCTTGGAGGCATACATTATAGGCGTATAGCATTATGTTAACTTAAACTAGAAATACATGCATCCAGTAACCCTTGTCATTAAAGACCAAGCTGACGATTTCCTGACATGCCCAGATCTTGAAGATTACGATTCTCACAAGATTATGAAATGACTGCAATAGGTCAACAGCTATAATTTTTCAATTATTCGGAATTATGTAAACGTAAAATCGTTTGAGTATTTATGCAGCGAATATTTGCAGTCGGCTGTAAAAGCTTCGAAGTGATATATGTGTTTGATCAAAATTCAAATTTACACTTTCAAAATAACATAATTTGGATAACTTATACGCTATGTCATGCACAATATCCGGGTGTGAAGGCTCACACACACTGGACGCTATTCGCTAACGCGAGGCAAATTTTTCATTTTCATAAATAAATAAATTCAATTCTGAAAGATATGGGTACCAGTCCAGTCAAAGTGTACCATCAATCGGTAGTTACCAAGAACAGACACCGCGGAAATTGGTCGGCAAGCTAAAAGATTTATAAATACTCAACAAAATATCTCTTGCACAAAAGATTTGAAGCTTGCACACGGCAAAAACAAATCATCTGAAAATGTCTGAAAATGTCTCAAAATGGCCATTTTACGGTGGCAGATGCATACGAAGAGCCTTCAAAAGTTTCCAAAACCGATATTGGAAGAAAAATTGAACTTGTTTTCAACTTATTTGATAGTATTTTCTTTGACAGCAGTTTCTGAATACTAGGATTCAAATGTGAGCAACTGATGAGATATTTTACTTCCAACACCAATTTCTGCGGTGTCCCAAGAACATCACAACATATTTGCTCTCCCGTCGCATATTGCTATCAGCTCACGTACGATCTGAGCTTATAGTATAAGGCTGCTTTCCCAACTTGCGTGTTTTCCATATACGCGCACGTAAAAATTCAAATCCTTATAAGAAATTTCCAGAAACATTTTCCGTGTTTCTATACAGTTATAGCTAAAAAAACCCGTGGGAGTTTGGGAGAACGAGAAATAATCTCCCGCAAGTGTGTCCATAACTGTATAGAAACACAGGAAAAATGTTTTCTATTTCGTTTATAATATAACTAAATAAAAACATTTTGTACAAGTATTATAATTCGACTCCATTACAAATTCTCATTACGTTGCTGCGCTTGTCACATTCGGCGGGAAAATTCCCGTGTTTCAATTACAGTGAAAGAAACACGCTTCTCGACCAATCAGCCAGCGCGTACTATAAATGTTATTTTATAAATAGCTAAGTTATTTTTGGGAAAAAACATTGTGAATAAATCGAAAGAACTTAGTTTCCACTTTCCCGCGTATTTTAAAACGCGTTTGTTCACGCATAAGTTAAATAATATCATTCTAATGCATTTATAAACTGAAATAATATGAAAAACGCGTAAGTGGGAAGCAACCTTAATTGTTAAATGTCTAATCCGGTAGCTCGATATGTAACTCAGCACTGTTTCTTCTCGGAATTACTGAATCAGAATAAACCTCTTTTTAAACTCGTTAAGACAATTGCAAAACTGCAAGTATATTGCCAGGGGAAACCCATCGCATCATATGACAATCAGGAAATGTCACAACAAAATCTAGCTTTAATTGTTTAGAAATCTAACTAAAACTGAAATCTAGCTAAAAATCTTCTTTCTAAAATTCACAAAGCAATTTTGCTTGATCGAAGCGATTACTGTAAAAACAAACGTTTAAATTGTGCCACGAATGTGATCGCTCTTAAACTGTGTTAAATGAGTTCACCCGATGTACTGATTTATGTTAAAATTCTTGCACAGTTGTACTGATGTTTCCCGGAAGGTCAGCGAACGGAGGCTATACTAAATTGTATTTAATTTTACCAACTTACCCTGCACGTACTTCTTCTGAAAACGAATGTCACTACTGTCGAATCAGTGTAGGAAGCAGTCGCCGAACTTTATTTATGTATGGGGAATCCCAGTCACTTCTCGGTAAGACGAGTACCGGGAAAACCCAATCACGAAATTACTAACGAATCTTGTGAGACGCTGTGAATTGGGATCATCTCCAGGAATCTCCTTTCATTTAACTGTCAATGGTTTTGGAGAAATCAGAGAGAAAGAGAAATCAAATTCTCACCTTGCAATGCGGAAATTCCATTTTCCGTTTTGTTTTAAAATTTCGTTTCAAAATTCTTAGTGAAAAAAATAGTTCTTAGCGATGACATGCGTCTTTTTCACTTCCGCGAATAATAAACGATAACAATAGCGTAAAAGATTCCAATTTATATTCATATATATGACACTACTCTGCCAATTTGCTATCTCTTTTATGCCACTATTTGAGACTGCGCGTATATAGACCGAAATTTATGATAATCGTTTGATATCAAACTTCAGAATTCATTACGTGCTCCCTCTAACTGCCGTAGCACCGCTCGGATTCCGTCTCCATCCCTACCGATCGGCAGTGGGCAAATTATATAGTGTAAGAGTGTGGAGCTATATGTAGATTGCGAGTTAATTGAATCGCCTAAGGCTCCGTTAGAACGTTAATGACATGCAGAAATTTGTATTTTTAATAGTTTAGTTTCAAATATTTTAAAAAGACATGTACAACTTTTTTTCCTAAAACTTGTCAAGATGCTTGCTTTTTCTGTAATCCGAGTACGTTCTGTAATTGATAATAGATATATGATATTCGAGAATTTCTTTTCCACCGAAAATTCCAAAGGAGGAAGTATAAAGCGAAAGTGATATTTTTCACGTTTCGTTTAAAATGTGTTGACATGCGTTTTCCTGGTAGAGGTGTGCCACTTACACAGATGGCGTATTTTGCTCCCGCTGGTGTATTTTGCTTTCAGCTAGCTAGGCTGTGCGCGGTAACTTTAAATGACTTCGAAATTATATTCCGAAATTTCGAAATTCATAGACTAAAGTGGATCGGACAGTTTACATACGGTTTGACTATTTCAGTTATTATCATTAGATTATTTTGGTTATTAATCATTTCGCGGTTTGAATTAATTTAGCATGATCCTATTTGATTTGCATGAGAAGTGATTGAATTAGTGATTAGGTGTTAGTGCAATCAGAGAACAGAAGTATATCAGATTCATTGTGAGACAAGCGTGCGAGAGAACGATAGCAGAATTTGTGTGAGTTTGACAATCAGTGGAGATCCACTCTTCAGGTACCGTGAGCTGTGATCAAGGTTGTTTCTATAATAGTTTAGCTGTAATCTAATCAGAATCCAATCAATTTAGAATTTATAATATATTACGAAAAATCTCCATTGGATTGTGTTTATTTCGCCCAATTGGAAACATAAAGTTAAATAAATAATTCACATATTTTATTCTGTGATTGCAGTTGACCCTAAAATTTCTATAATTACTGTCCTATCAAAATTGATATTATTCGGTATTTGTGAAGCAAAAAAGTTTTCAGTTCACTGAAGCTGGTTTTCCACGAGCGATATTTTTCGTGTGAAACGACTTTGCTACTTTTTATTTGACAATTTCTTCCAGATGGTTGCAGTTGAGAGCTCTGAAACAAAAGTAAAATGTCGCCTCGGGCGAAATTTTTTTAGCTAGCTTCTATAAGTGTATTCCATGAGCCTAAAACATGTTAAACTGCCAGGCAATGTCGGGTAATTTTGGTTCACTTAATTCTGCTCTCGTTACATGAATAATGTATAGTTAACTTGAGAGTTGGGATCCTTCCTTTTATACATCCTGCAGATAAATTTGGCCACGAATTAGTTATTAATGTTATTAGTTATTAAGTATCGTGTCAACTGTCGAAGAAACTATTTTTTTGCTTTATCGGAAAGATAACCAGAAAGATAGTCGGAAAGATAATTTCTGGTTGTTTTTCGGGCATAGCGTCGTTCAAAACAACACATTTTGTCGCCTCGTGCTGGCTGGATTCTCTTGAATGGTCTAAGAGTTTGATTAAGCGAAAATTGCAGCGCATGAGTTCGCGTTATAAATTTGTAAACGAACTCATGTCTGCATAATAAAAATATTTTTAAAATGATTCAACATGTTGTAATGATTTAATAGAGACATTTAGGATTGCATGCAGAGTATCCGACGAATGACGAACCTATATAGTTTAAAACTACTTTTTATATATCTTGAATCGTAATAATCGGCTAAGGCAATTATGAAATACGTATTTAGGGGATGTAGCTATGAATCCCCTACGGGGCATGCTCTCCGAGTTTACCCAGGCGTGACAACAAGTATTAACATCAAAATCCCCGCGCATTTATATTTACAGCATGCTTATAATATAAAAAAAGGATAATGAACTGTGTAAAATATCATACCCGGTATATTAGGGGCAGGGTTTAAATTTATAAACGGCCAAGCAAACTTGCGACTTAAAAGAGACAGTATAAAACTAGTAGTTATCCTAAGCTCGACTTGCTACCACATTTTGAAATTGTAGTAAAAATTGAATATCTACAGTTACTCATAATTATACTAATTTTCATCTTCAGAAATTTTCTTACAATTTTGAAAAATGGTAGAATAACCCGGCCTGATAGCTCTACACTATAAAGTTCTACCAGGAAAAGCCATTGAAGCGCAAGTGCGCTGCGCAACCAAAACAGCAGCGTAGCAGACAAGCTCTTAAAAGATATACGTGTTAAGCAAAGCTGAAAGGCTCATAATAACCGCCGTAATAAATAAATATATGCAATAATTTATGGTGGAGTCTCGGAAAATGAGAGGGCTAATTTATTTTGAACTTTGATGCAAATATTATACTTGTTACAACAGCTAATGTCCGTGGTAAAGATTTCAAATTTTCAAATCAGAAGTCAAATTTCATGCGATGAGCGCTGTCATCAGGAATCGCTCCATACACGCGATAAACAGAACGACCGTCGGTCGTGAACTGTTGATATGAAATATATCGATATTTTTTCTCGTTGCGAATACGAGATGTCGCTGTAACTTGAACCACGTATGACGAGAATCAAATCTCCCAGAAAGATGATATTAAAATTTCATCGTCACGGAAAGTCGTAATCTTCGAAATAATCTTTGTAATTCTATTAGCAAGCTGTGGGCGAAAATAGGTGTTGCGATAAGTATATTTTTCACGGCAATATGTCAATAACTGATTGGGACGCGGTAGTATCAATAAGATAATCTTGGATTCGGCCAGGCGTCTGTGAAAATTTATGCAGCTCATTTTTTTAAATCTAAACGTGCACATGTTCGTTCTGGAACTCCGTGATTTGCAATTTTTAAATAGTCCAGTGTGTGGTAACATCTAGCTAGGCTTGTTAAGTACAACTTAATACCCCTATGGCGATGTCATTATCGACGGGTACATGAATGCATGCAGATTATGCATAATTTATGCGGCGTCAAATAATTTTATGTAAGTCATTAGAATAACACGGTTACAAAAAAACTCATTAAAATATAAGTTTTGTCGACGAAATCTTGCCATGCAGTTACAGTGCAGGTGTTTAGGTCGTTCTGTTTCAAACGGTCAATTAATAACAATCGGAATGATTTATATAAAAGGTGTGAATAAAATTTCAATTGTTTTTGAAAAGAAATCCGAAGGAGATTTGAGATAAATTAATATAGGCGGTTTGCGTGATCTGGATGCGCGGCTTTTGACTGACGTTGCGACTACCGTATCTCGCGTTAAATCGCATTATTATAGACATTTTACGTAGCCATTATCAGCAGATGAAAAATGTTTGCGTCTGAAAGAGAGGCATTTTTCACCTGCTGCAAATATGATCCAACGCGAATGATAAAAAACAATTAAAAAGTCCATTGGAGGCCGGTCTTTTTATGTTTCATGTTTTAATTATAGGAAAAAATATATAGGCCCACGGGTTGAATTTCCACTGATAAGTTGAAGTCGACTTTGGAAATCGCAGCAAACGCAACAATCTCTGTGTAGTGGAAGCAAGCTGAAGATATAATGAACAATTCTACACAGAATGTTGTTTTTATTGAAAATTGTATGACCGCGTTTGGAAGGGCGAACAAAATCGTCGTGCAATTTCCGTCTGACTTTTATCTGGTCAGTCATGTTATGGTTATTGCGATCAACAGTGTTTTAATAATTCCAACTATAGCACTGAACAGCGTCTCTTTAACCGCGATTATGAAATCATCTCGGCTAAAAAACAAACCGTGCTACTATCTCGTTGTTATCCAATCTCTGGTCGACCTGACGGTCGGTGCTATTGGCATTCCAATATTTATCTTCTACAATGTCTCTCCGATTGTTGGGTTTTTGAACTGCACCGTAAGCTTTGTCGTCGCGCAAGCATTTTTCATTCCGAGCGGAGTATCAATACTAACGCTGTCTGCTATGACAATGGAACGGTATGCCGGTGTCTTGCACCCGTATGCATACAGCAAACAAGTTACTAAAAAAAGGATTCTGTTTTACGAATGCTTCGGTAGCTTCTTCATTATTTCGCTGGTTGGCATCTCACTGCAAATTAGAAAGGTCATCACAAACTTCTCTGTTATTTTGATATTAATTTTTTTCATCCTGAACACTTTCGTTTATACCAGGATCTATATTGTCGTCTTGAAAATAGCGCGCTCCGATAAGGTGCGAAATAGCGGTTTCAGGGAGGAAGACGCGAGCAGAAAAGAAAGATTTCTCGGCGAAATAAAGCAAGCGAAAACGTGCTTTCTCGTGCTAATGTGTTTCGTTGTATGTTTCCTTCCGTTAGCACTTGGGGGCTTTTTCAAGATACGCGGCTTCAACTACATTTTACATCAGACGTGGTCGATGACGTTAATAATGTTGAATTCAAGCGTGAATTCTGTCATATTTTTTTGGATGAAAAGGGAACTGAGGGTGCAGGCGTTGCATGTTTTAAGAAGATCGGTGGCACCGTAGAAAAGTATGGCACATACATACATGCACATTCATGTTGATCGTATCATGCGTCCCGATGTCATGTTCGACAGTCGCAGCTATACACTTAGTATAGGATAAGTTTCGTTAGTCTCCATATATGACAACGTCGATTTTTAAAATTTTGGCAGACGTGTCGATTTACCTCTCAGTTAGGTTTAACTCTTTAGCCGGCGCACCGCCCGTATACGTACGGTTAACGTTCTGGAGCCGGTTGTATATAAGAAGGTATTTCACTTTTAACTTGGTTAATGGCAGAATTAGCCAATCACAATCGTATAGTTTCTAGTTAACTACGATTTAACTACTCAAAATGTAGTTACGAGTTTTATACCTCCGGCCCTTGGACTTTAGTTTAACTTTATATAAATAGTTGATGAATAGATCATGCTGAGAACCGTATATATCTGATGAAGACGCGCACTCCTCTCATAAATGGTTAACCGTCACAAACAGCTTGAACGCATTCAACTATCACGTGTTTTTAAAAGGACAGTGGTTAAATATTAAATATAGGGTTTAAAAACAGGGTGCAAAATTAATAATAGAGCAAAATGAGTGTATGCAATGAATTTTAACAAAAGCGCGTGCAATGTATATTTATTACCATAGTATGGTTACAATAATTGATTCGTTTTCATATTCGATAGCACTGGATGTGATGTGACACCGCAGAAATTGGTGTTGGAAGTCAAATATCTCATCAGTTGCTCACATTTGAATCCTAGTATTCAGAAACTGCTGTCAAAGAAAATACTATCAAATAAGTTGAAAACAAGTTCAATTTTTCTTCCAATATCGGTTTTGGAAACTTTTGAAGGCTCTTCGTATGCATCTGCCACCGTAAAATGGCCATTTTGAGACATTTTCAGACATTTTCAGATGATTTGTTTTTGCCGTGTGCAAGCTTCAAATCTTTTGTGCAAGAGATATTTTGTTGAATATTTATAAATCTTTTAGCTTGCCGAATTTAAAGTCTAAGTATTGAGAATTACGGCTAAGTCTACCAATTTCCGCGGTGTCATGTGATGTACACATAAACTGCCGATAAACTGAATACATAAATTATTCTTAACACGAATTTCATTTTGTTCCATACCCTTTTGAAATGACACGGTTTTTATGATTAGCGCTGTAATTATTTTCAATTATGTATAAATTATTCTGCGTGCCCAACCCGAGAAATCAATTGAGGTATAGAATATATTCAATTAATGGGGGCCTTTAGAATATTTGATAACTATTATTATGGCGTTTCGTGGTGCATATATGTCTGCGTTAGCATTTTGACTGGCAACAGAATTTAATCACTGTCTGGACACATGCAGGATTAAATAAAGTATTACTCATCAGTATTTCTTAAATTGTCGTTAATTTGTTTTATCACGGATAGGATATTAATTAAGTATTAATTCGTGAAAGGTTCCATAAACGAAGATGCGATGCATGAGGTTGTGCCGACCTCTTTCTGCGCGAGCGTGTCTAGACAATAATAGATAGTGTGTTATGATAAGGTCGTCTATTCCTGCGGGGGATAGGTCTGTGTAAATAGATTGACGCTTTACGTGTTACTCACGAGCAAATGTGTCACAGGCAGGAGCCGGCTGTATAAAACTCTTTAACGACTCTGATTGGTCAATTCTGTCTTAACTACAGTAAACTGTTAAGAGTTAACTAGTATCCTTTTATACAACTGACTCCAGGGGCCGGTTGTTCGTACGCCGCCTAGCCTAAACGGTGGATAAGTTCAAAGTGGAAAACAAAATTAGAACAACTGAGCCGAAATATTTCGGTGTAAATAGTTTAATTTCAATGAAAGAACATATTTAATACACAATTATGTAGTTTCAGTCATGCACAAGATGTATGAGAAACTTTGGCTTATCCACTGTTTAAGCTATAAACGCCTTTCGAACAACCGGCCCCAGGAGACCGCAATTCTTAGTGTTTCTCTTTCAGCCAACTTTCCCATTTCACGTTATTAGGATCATGCATGTCAACGTACATGAGGCATCTGGCATTTCTCGCTATTTGCAGGCTATTTGTGGATAAATAGAGATTTGGGTTACATTTCAAGTCATAAACAAGAATTTTGAATCACATGTAATAATGAATTTTTGAGTCTCTAAATCTTCACAAATGACATTTGTAGCCTTTTCATGCATCATTTTAAAATTGGCTGGGTAGTTAGCTAGTGGCATATACAGGGTAGAAAAATCTGAATATCTTTTGCGTAATTTATGACATACATGCATGCATGCAGTGGCGAGCCAGCCTGATTATTTAGTCCAGTTATGTTCTGTTAATTACAAGATTCCGCTATTAAGTTATTTTGTCCTGATCTGTCCTGGCCAAAACCATCGACTACACTCTGAATTATTTGTACTTTTTTACACAAAATATTAATATTTCTGTTTCGTCCCCCCCTCCTCGACCCCCTAATCAATGTTGAATCTATGCTAAATGCTTGAATGAGTTATGACACATCACTCAACATTGATTTGGGGGAAAGGGGGAGAATTTTGAAATAAAGCCCGCGACTGCTGACTGTAGTGTCAATTAACACAGAGTGTCGTCAATGTTTTGACCAGGATTGTAGCTGCACTATACTGATTATATTTTGGAAAAATTGGCAACTAGACGTATAGTTCACCTGCACTGGGTCACGAATTTTTGGCTTTATAAGATTATATCTGTTTAAAATGATAAAATTGTGACCACCTTCAGACCCTGGATTGGGCACAGTTTAAAAGAAAAACGTTTAAGCAATCAAATCGCTTCCAACACAAATAATGCAGGATAGTTATAAGTAAAATAATTATTTGAATAAATTTATCATATGTAAAACGACCGAAACCATACTGAGTTATATATAGTTTGTTTTCTGATCTCACTGATGAACTGTGTTCTAAAAGAAGCATACATGATTAAAAATGCATTGCATCCTGGTCACATCTCGTATGATATCAATTTAATCGTAAATATTGAAAAGCGAAGGTCAAGTTTTTTGGCATGCTGGCACCTGGTGCGGGTTAAGGAGTGTCGAAACTTGTATTTATTTCCTCAATTTTTTTGAAGCTTTCGTTGCTTCCATGTTGAAATCGTATTGCGGGAAGACGACAACCCAGGTTGTGACGTCAGAAACAAATTTCTCGAGAACACTTATTAGTACGAGATATCATCCAAGATGGCGGGCGAAGCGCAATATTTGGATCCAAACAATCGTTATCTTGCGAGGATGTAAATGTTTAAAGATCAAACTTTTTGTATTTCTTAATAATTTTCTGGGTAAATTTTATGTTAAAATTGAATAAAAATATATTGCCATTTTCCTTTAAGGTATGCGAGTTGCGATGCAAATTGTCATGGTGGGTCACAATATAATAGTGACTTATTAGACACTGTAATAGAGATTTATGTTCTCTATTCAAAATTATGTTCACGTTTTCATTTTCGACATTAATTTCTTTTGCAATTAATTGTTTTTACAGACAGTAAGCATGAACGATGCATGGTGGTACGAAAGACTGTTGTGACTGAGTCGCTTCTTTTTTGGCCGAGACGCGCCTATTTTTCACCACTCGCGCTAATTAGACAATCTCATTTATGGTATACTTTATTACTGTGTGTTATTATTACTATAGTTGTACTAGTGATTCAATTCCCTTGTAAGTATCTATTTATGTGAGGCAACTGCAAAGGCCGCATCGTCGTGTGTCATTGAGCAGAGTTGCAAAAAGAGTTCAACCTTCCTCCGGTAGCATTTCAAGTTTTGAAAACCTTCCTCAAAATTACGTTACGTCACTGAGTCAAGTGGTAACCAGCATAACGAAATATTTGGGTTTTTTGGTACATGCATGTGATCAATTGGAGTGTTCAACTTTGAACCTTCCTCACAAACTTCATTCAAAGCAAACCTTCCTCCGGGTGGCACCCGCGTACCCGCAGCTTTTTTGCAACTCTGTCATTGAGACAGATTATGACATTCTAAGAAGCCTAAATGAATTAATAGATTTGGGTTTTCAATATTTTCTCTTACATGAAATGAAAAAAAAGTTTTAAATATTAAATGGACTTCAGTCTACGATTATCTTAATGAACATGACGTCGTCTTTCACAAATTGTCGATTACTCATATTATCCAACGGCATAAACAACGGTGAGCCGGACGCTATATTCATCTCTGACTTCGGTCGTTGGAAAGACGAACTCGTCGGATCAGAATGAAATGCGTCGACCATGTGATCCCCACTACCTTGATCCAGGAGCATCATGGTAATCTTTTTCCTAAATGGCCAGGCTTGTAATGCATCGTAATCACCTTAATACAAACAGGAAAACTCATGAAAAACCATATTTGCAATAAAAGAATTGACTTAATAAGTTTTGGGAACTGCTGGCAGCTGGGCTTTTCAGGAGAGACTGGCCTATAGGGGTGTCCTCGGCGGCTGCAGTTGCCCTCCGTGTACGGGTAAAAACATTGCTCCCGCCAACCTAAGCTATATACCTAGCTCCAGCACCCTTTGTATTTTTTTCAAGATTCCCCAAGAGATTTACGCAATATACTCAGTGAATTCGCGTACTTTCCTAACCGTGTATTACCATGCATGCACTTATGTTATACTCAATGCGTTATACTCACCTTTCACTACAACGAAAAACAAAGAAAGATGTGTTCCTTTTCCGAATCCATCACCATTCATATAAATCTTAGCGCACATTCTATACCCATATTGAGCGCTATAGAAATGTTCACTATACAAGGCCGTTTTTTTACCCGTAATAGCATCCTGTCGCTTCCTCTGGAAGCCGTCAATTTTCCATAACAGGGTACCATTATAACTATGTATAGGATGCTGTGCCTGCGCCGTTCCTTGGCATTCTAAGTCGGTTATCTTAACTGTGTTTAGAGCCAGACACTCGTCAACTTGGTCCATCCGACTAAGAAAGCGTTGAATTTTCGCGTCAGTCTCTCTGAATCCTCTTTCCAACACCACGCTGCTTTCATGACAACGGCTGCTTTCAGTAGAAATATCTCCAATTTTATTCACAAGCCCATGCAGTTCACTTTCCACCCTTGTGTTGCTGCCAGGACTCTGCTCCAAACCATCAACCCTCCTATTTAGTCCATTAAACTTTTCTTCAACCATTGAAAATTTTTCGGCAACACCAGAGCAGACCTGCTGAAGATCTTCACGTAATTTCTGTATGATCCTTGTAAACTCTGGCCGGGGAACGTAGTCTTTCAGTTGAGAAACAGCAGCGAGCACATGTTGCAATAGTAGACGGACATGATCAGGCAATCCCTTGTTCATATGTTCCTCTAACTTTCCTCGCTTTAACGTCTACATGTAAAATAAAAATATTTGTATTTTGCACAGCCTTCCGGGCGTATTCTACCATCCTCAAAAACCATAAGCTAAAAAAGAGCAGAAAGCATTGACAATAACTTGAATAAAAAATATCCTGGCGCTGAATGACAACCAAGAGATTTAGCGATAACCGGTGCAGTAAATAAATAAATAACTCGTTAAAATATAAAAAATAATTGTTATATTTTTTAGTAACTGTAACTGCAACTGTAACTGTAACTGTATTGAAAACCATAAGAATTTTTCTTATTTTGATCAAATTGAAGATAGCACTAGTATCCAGTTAAGTTAGCAGAAAAGTGATTTTGAGGGTACTTCGGCCATTCAAGAATTAGCAATTGGAAATCTTGCAGCTCGTTTATGCAGTTTTAGTAATAATTCTTTGTTTACATTTCCCCAGAGTGCAAAAAAGTATAGTAGATGTGGGTAGATTAGTGCAGAGTAAAAGTGAAGAATAGTTTGTTTTTGCTGCCCCTCTAAATTTTGAAGAGTAGCAAGAAAATAATGATGAGATAAGGATGAGAAGTGACAGTTTGAAGATTTCTTATGATAAAAAATAACCAAGTGTTTGGAGTACCAACTTTCACTACATCACCGTTGTGTTGCCCATACACTTAACCCTTACTTAATATATCAGCTATTGACGCAGAAAAAGCAGAAGATGAAGCTACAAACGACTTAGCAGAGGTACCTGCGTACTCTGGAATATGATCTCCTGATCCCTACAACTTGCAGATATGGTTAAACAAAAAATGTAGATTGAATCTGATCAAGCCAAATGCGACACGATGGAGTTCCATTTTTATCGCTGTCAAACACCTCCATAAGATCATGAATTAAAAAGGAGAAAATGTCATAGTATTTCCTCCCTCGCAGATGCACCTAAGTATACATCTTCCAATATTGAGTACAAGAATAAGAATGCTTCTATATATGCTGCTATATTTATCTGTAGCCAAAAAAATAGATAGATTTCAACTGCCTATCAATACATCCACACTTTTCTTTTCAGGTTTAAATCTGCAGAGATAGTATTTGTTAAAGTCTATACTCAAGTGATGAAACCAGTAGGGTTAGGCCTGGACATTCTCCAGGAGGAAACAAACCACTTAGCACGCACCAACAATATAAAGTGAGGGATCAGCTTACCGAGTAAGAACCTAAACAACTGCATGGTCAAAGAAGTCGATCGATAACCGATTTTAAAAAACACATCATTAATATCATGTCTTTTAATTGGTTGCTCTTGATCACGTTGCATTATATAAAAATTTCCATTTTTCTGACTGTGCAATGGAAAAAAACAATTCGCACGGTCTAGCTGGCAAAAAGTTTTTCCATAGCATGGTTGCTCTCGCTAAATTCCACTAAGTTCTAATTGTGTTTATAATATGCATCATTTCCAATATGTTTATAATTACTTAATTTACTTAATCGACTTAATTAAGTTGATCTTTTCTGGTGTCATATAAAACAATCGTGCAATGGTAAAAATATTTTCATTCGGTGAAAGATGGAATGTTCCATTGAAAAATTCCATCTTTCACCCCATAAAGATATCCTTACCAATGCACTCATAAACATTCATTATTAATATATAAATCAATACTAAGCGATAAAAAGATCAGTGCTAGAGCTTTTCTTTACCTACAATCAAAAGAAAGCTGGACAACTGACCTAACCTTTTTTAAAAAGGTGAAAATATAGCTTTGTGATGAAAATTTGTGATTCATTAAAGTAGGCATACATATTTATTTATTTATATTTTTTCTGAATTTTAGGCATATTCTTCATTAATAAGAGGCTGATCAGTCTTCCGCGAACGATTAAGATATTTTATGATATATATGGATTTAAACCAAAAACCATGACCAGAAATTTGCGACATTATGTCGCATGTGTAGGATCTACTAGTTTGGATCTAACTCTTGACAAAATGGCTTTCAACCCTGTCTATAGAATACATATAGTAAAACTGCAAAAGTACAAAAATTAACTTAGTCAAAAAAATACTATGCTTCTAGCAATGTAACTAGCTGTAACTGTAATAAGTTATAAACAAGATGTAACTAAGTAAAGTATTACAAGAAAAGTATTATAAATTAGTTTTCTTTCTCCCAAACTGTATATAGAAACACAGAAAATATTTTCTATTTCTTATAAATATTATATAAAAAATGTAGCTACACGTCCGGCTAGATAGCTAACAGCAGTTCTCTGCTATCAACTTGCCAAAGTGCAGTTTTATAAATTCTTTAGCCATATACCATCTGAGAAGTTATCTCCAAAATAAACGGTACTGATTGGCCAGTTACGCCACTAACAAAAAGGTATAAATTAACTACCCTTTTATATAAAACCGTGTTGCAAGGGTCTGCAAAAAATTTACATTACCTTACTATGATTACATCCCACAGGCTGGAAAACGCAGTCTACCGGGATTTCTTCACAAATCAATAGTTCGTGGTCTTCAGTATCTCTTCGTAAGACTTTTTGCTTACAGTATTTGCAAGTTACGGGAGTACCTTCACAGCTCGTTCGAATATGATTCTAAAGCAAACGCAAGAAAACGTAAAGGTCAGTTCACACGATCAATTTGTTGAAAGCCAATTAGATCAGCAATATTGCACTGGCTATTTACTTCCCATACACAATTAGGGATGTTCGCAAGAAGCGCGGTTACTTTGGAGAAACTTTTAATTCTTCTTTGCAACTTTCCTTATTCTGGGCAAGTTTTTTTCAATCGATCAACTTCTTTTGTCTATGATTTAAACACAGGAGCCACCCTTTTTAATCAATAGTTATCCTCCAGCGTATTTAGCATTACTGCCTAATTACAAAAATACCGGAAAAGGAAAATTTGGAGTCTAAAGGCGAATTTAAATTAAGTCTATTACGCAATGAGTTCTGAGCATTCTGTGGACAATGCAAATCAACAGAGTTTAAAACAAGAATCAGACAATGTAATTATTGATGCAACAAAATTTGATCTTTTGAACAGACCTTACATTGCTTTTAGAGTAAACATTGAATTTTCGTGTTTGAAAGCATCTTTTCTGCTTACTTGTATCGAGGCAAATTCCACGTCTTTCTGACAATACTTGCATTTAACGTTCCGATATTCACATTCGCTCTTCAAATGTTCTCCAAGATGCACACGTTTGAACTGGGTCTTGCATTGAGGGTGGGCACAACTTATCGAAGTATGTTCACAGACCCGAAAATGTGCCTAAACATTTAGAAATAGGTTGCCGTAGAGAACCTATAGATCTACGTACGTTGTCTGATACTCAGTATAGACATATTCAAGAATGGCCAAGAGGCCTGTGGCGAGGCGCACGGAAATGAGACTGAATTTTAAAATAATGTTTATTTTAATTTTTTTGCAGGACCTGCTACAAGCTAGAAAAATCGTTTCTTCAATCAAAATTTAGAAATGAACAAAATTAATGATAAGTTTGTCCTTTTCGTGTGCTTCATAACAGGCCTTTAGCTCCTTTTCGAAATGTCTACTTTTATTATTCTTTCGAAGAATTTACAGAGTTTGATTTGCGAATAACCCTATGATTGTGAAATCGTCACGTCCGATGTGTCACGTCACAACGTGGTTTTATGCACACTATTACGTCATGATGACACATTAAAGTCGTATCCCAATTATGACGTCACACCAATGACGAAGACATCAACGTCCCAAACAGGGAGAATGTGGCACAAAACACTGCGAGCGAATATCTTGATCTCGGTTTTTACATGATATGAAGATTATCAAGCCCACTTTTCTCGTCCCGTCCCTTTCTTTTTCCATCACTAACACACTCACCTCCAGCTCTCCGTACGCAGAAAACCATGTACAACCAGAATTGGTACAATGAATTTTAAGCAATTTGAGCTCACGCTTAGTGAAAGCATCGGGGAAAACCTGAAAGATTTAAAATCACCTTTCAATATCACAATGTCGGCTACAGTCCCGATGTCTGAAAATGCAAATTCAAAGTTAATACACAACTCACTTTATCCCTGCTCAACTCTTCGCCATCTTCGGGACATCTCGGAGTGGAACTCCTAGGAATAAAAATTTTTTTTGCTATAAATTCGCGATGTCGACAATAGACAATTTTTCAAGCGAATAACGCCGTTTATACATAGACAGCCCAAATTAGCGTGATATTTTAAACACGAGAATTTTATTATATTGACAAAGTGATGTTACAATATTACGACCAAAAAATTTGAGCTCCCGTGCGCTTGATGACATTCGGGTAAATTCCGAAAATTTTAGGTGCCTAAACCGGCATTGAAAGTATCTACGAGAGTGAACAACTCTTGCGTGTACCTTTGCAGTATTGATACTTCAGTCATTATTCAGTCATTGCTTTCCGTCTATAGACTGGAGCCAAAGTAACAATTCCTTAGTTATTTGAGGTATCTGAATATATCTTATCTAAATAAGTCCATTTTATGTAGGGCGTTTCTATGTTGGGAACAATGAACTTAATGGTCAAAAAGGTTTATTCCAGGATATCGACGACGTAACACGTGTTAGCTAAATAGGTCTGCATGTATTATCATACCCGCCAAGCAAAGCTTCCAGGCATGATAGACATATCAAGTGACCACAGTTCGTTTGCATGGGATTAACTAACAGGAGGTGACAAATTGCGCAGATGAATTTCATGCTTATTGTCTTGCGATCTTCGTCCGTTATCTTTGTTCCCGGCATGTTGAACAATGCGAATAATATCCTCTTTATCTGGCGAAAAAGTTATAGATGAGTCAGATGGCTATAGAGGAGTAGAAAAGAAGTTGGATAAAGATATGAACCAGCTAGTTAACTATAAGCTTGCTTTACTGGTTTACAAAGCCCTCAAATGGAGTGGAGTCTTAGCAGACTGGTCGCGAACCGCAGAGCATCTATGGACTGTTTGGAGGGGCAGGAAATAATCATTTGTAATATTTGTAATCATTTGTCGCACAAATCATAGATGCTTTGCGATTCGCGACTAGACCAGTACCCTGCCTGATTGGGAAATGGCTAATTGTTGATCTACTAACATATAAACCTGAAGGTATATACCATTTAAGTTCAGGTAATTGTTCTTTGCTAAAGATAGATATGAGGCATCCGGAATAGTGATGTCGCAACCAAGAATATTAGTCAACTGTAATGGTATTAATAAAGGGGGAATTCGTTTTAAACTAATCAGCATATTTGCTTACATTTTTTAGGCAAAGTCAATCAAAATGCCTAAATTTATAATACTTCTTATAAAATGGTAAATAATGTACCTTTTTACCGGAAGTAGTCAAAATTCATGCATTCTGACCGAGTTATTGAAAATGTTAACAAACTTGCTGATTGGAATATAATTCTATATTAATATTTAAACACAGGAACCACTCTTTTTGCTCAGGGGTCATCCTCTAGCGTACTTATAACATTTATACAGTAGAGTATAGCACTATTAACTACTTTGTTTATGTTTTTAACGTTTTTTAATGTTTTTTTGCACAGGGGTCAGCCTCTATAGCGTACTTACATTTTTATAGTAGAGTATAGCACTATTAACTACATTGCTCGGGAAAATTTCCTAAGCGCGACGTACGCGCCCCGTGTCCCGGATGTAGTGGCGTATGGGTGTTTTAGTTTTCAGTAAAATACCCTGTCCATAATATTATAATAAATAGAGAATACTATACGGTTACGCGGAAATAAATCCATATTTCGAAACAACCGTGTAATATTCTGTTTATTATATTAACAAATTAAAAGCAAACGACAATTCTAATAGTAACTCAAAACCAAATACGTATATTACTGATGGGCACACATTTAAAATAACAATGTTAAGTAAAATGCGCTTATATAGTTATAGTCTCTTGAAGGTGTATATAAGTATGGTATGAAATAAAAAACGAACGGAAACTGTGAGCTAGAAACATTTTTTGATTGGTCAAACGTATTTCCTACGCGGTTTTTGATTGGCTTGCGAAAATTATATCTTTATGACGTAAAAATATCGTATTTTTACGTGTGTTTGAATACAAATTTTCTCGGTGGTGTAAAACTCTATATAACACTCATGTTCATATAATAAATAACTGATTATTTCACCCTAACAACTTTTTTCAGCTGAATTACTAATACCATACCACAAAGAGGAGTTTCGTTTCAGACTCTTTTGGACTCAGCTCAGCTCATTTACCCTCACCTATTTTCGGCATTACCACCTTGAAATACACACTAACCACGCTTGCTCTTCTCAGCTACCTCTGTAGCTCAGTGGCAATAGCAAGCGTGGTTCGTGTGGCATTACACCGCCATCGCAAAAGCGTAGGTTCGGTTCCTGTCGGAGGAAATTAAAGTGTGTATAATTGCACTCAAAATTAAGACTCTTTGTACCTTTAGAATTAACCTGCATCGATTAAAGTGCCAAAATTCATAACTGATTTACCCTCACCTATTCCCTGCATTACCATCATATACACATTATAACCACGCTTGCTCTTGTCAGCTACCTCTGTAGCTCAGTGGAAAGAGCGTTGTACCGGCGTCGCAAAAGCGTAAAATCGGTTCCAGCCGGAGGACGTATAGTTTTAACTCACTTTTTTCCCCATCAACTGTTCCTGGCTTGAATTTTAAGTGTGTATAATTCCACTCGCAATTAAGACCATTTTAAACCTCTAGAATTTACCTGCATCGAGTGAAGTGGCAAAAATCATAATCGATTTACCCTCGCCTATTCCCGGCATTAGGCTAGTTTCCACTTAGGAAAATTCTCTTTTGGATCGGACAGGAAAAGAAAGTTTCCTTTGTATAAACGCCTCCTGAGAACCCACCGACAAAGGAAATTTTCCTGTCCGTTCCGATCCAATGGAGATCCAAAGGAGTGGAAACTAGCCTCTAAACATACCTATGTAGCTCACAGGAGCGTAGCCAGCCTGTCGATTTGCCCGTTATGCTAATATTTTAGTGTCCACTGACTATAAAAACAATAAATTTCTAAAGACATGAATAATTAAAATAATAGGAATTAGCCACATGCGCATTAACAAATTTTCGTCTTAGCTCTTCGCCGAGATGAAAAGCTTTTACACAAATAAATGAAGCAAACTAAGTATGAATACAAACAAACATTTACGACCTTGCTTTTAGAAGAAGCTTCGCGATCCTCGAACTCATGGCAATAAACTATCAAGTATATGTTTTCGAGGGGGCCAAACTGATTTCCGAAAGGTGGGCCAGATTTCCAAGGAAATATGACCCCCAGGGGGGCCAAATTTTCTAGGAAATAGGGCCTGGGAGGGCCAAATTTTGGGGGGGGGGTAAATTTCCTGGGACACCGCAGTATCACAAAACCGTAGGTTCGACTCCTTCCGGAGGACCGATAGATGACTAATATTTTTCAACTCTTCCTGGCTTGAAATGAGCTGTGTATGATTCCATTCGAAATTAAGACTATTTAAAAACCTCCAGAATTCTAAGATCTAAGATCTGAATAAATGTACCAAAACTCTAATTTGCAGCTGAAAGCACTGGCTGCTGAAAATTGATCTTTAAAGGCAAACGAAGATGTCGAAGCGTGACAATAAGACATTTGCTATAATTATAGTGTTAGGAACCTTCGTAGTACGACTAACTGACTATATATAGACTATATAGTCAAATGACACTATAATTTTTATCCCTTTTGTTAACCTATGGAAATAAGTGTATTGACAATCTGCATATGAAAACTCTGGGTATTAAAGAATTCTTTCCATTACATCAGCGCGCGCTTTAGATCTTGCTGGATTCTGACATTCATTGTAAAATTTACTCTAAAGTAGTTTTTCTGAAAACAATATGTTACTAAATTAGACTGTAATGAATAAATTGTTGACTAAATCTTCATAAGTATACCATACGCTATCAGTATGGGAATTATGGGATATGGGTCAGCATGGGTATTAAGGGGGGAATTCCCCATAACGCGACACGATTATTTAGTGCGTGCTTGTGTACAACTCTTGCGGCTAAATTATATTGCAAATAATTTTTGTCTTTTAAAAAGACGGCAATTTCAGCCTGACATAGGCATATGGTAGTATTCAACAGTGTAGCTAATATGAGAAAATCGTATTACAATATATAACATGAGAAATCGTATGGCTATACTATATGACTCTGACTTACTCTGACTGTAAATCGACTCTGGTTACCATATCAATTCGCAATCGTTTCAACATAGCATGCAAGTTGGATAGCATACATATAATAGTGCATGAGTGTATCGCCGGATCTTCCTTAATTTAATACAAGTTTAGAACAATCATCTATAGTTATATTTATAGCTTTCATCTATGACTCAACAAGCCAAATTACAATTACTTCAGTACATACATGCCTAGTCCCCTAAATAATAGTAATAAAATGTAATATATATACCGGCGCAAAATACAAACGCATGACATTTAAAAATGGAACAAACCTGTGTATATGTAAAGTTTCGCCGTCCCTAATTGCTACTAGCGAGAAATCGTCAATCGTTTTGAAAAGAAAACCGAACTTAGCTATGCATTTACCAGGAATTAAGTTGAGATTTTCCTAGAATTTTAAATAAACGAAACTGACCTCAAAAATTATTTCTTATGCATGGACCGTTACATGGCCGGTCTGGGGCTGTTCGCCGGGCCAAAATTAGCAAACGATTACATGAGTGATTTCAGTATGATATTTTAGAGCAAATTTTGGCGGAAAGTCTCGATTGTTAAGTGATGTTATGAATATTAATCCGGAACTTGCGTTGTGATTGCTGTAAACAACCGAGAACTTGTACCAAAGGTTCTTTCGAAGAATAAACGGACGATCGACGGTTTATAATATTATTTACCTATCAATAAAAGAAAAAAACACGCGAGTATAACTGTATAAGTGATTAAGGGTTCCTACTTGAGTCAATGTCAAATAACAACAACTCTTAATTCCCGCCCTTTCCTTAACATTAACCAATAAGGTTCAGAGACTGTTGCTACGGTAACAAGTCCTAGGCTATCGCATGATTATATCGTGTTTATCGCCCCCCAAGGTAAGTATCAGTTTGTCACTCGGGTGATGAAACTGATATCACCTCACTGACCAAATATATATACGTTAAATAATATAATCGCGTGATATTTAATACTAAAGGTTAGAGACTGCATGTTGTGAGTCTTATTTTACTTTCGAAGGCAACTATTACCAGCAAGTTTTTGGGACAGCGATGGGATCCCCGGTCTCGGCAGTAATTGCTAGCCTATAGTAATGGAAGATGTCGAGCAAAGAGCTTTAGCCTCTAGTCCGGTTAAACCTTTGTTTTGGAAACGATATGTTGACGATGTGGCCTCTGCGGTTAACAACTATGAGATCGATAATTTGCTGAAACATTTGAATTCGATTGAGCCAACAATTCAATTCACTGTAGAGCGCGAGAGTGAGGGAAATTTGGCTTTTTTAGATACTTATGTTCATAGAAATATCGAAGGACAATTAGAGACTGATGTTTACCGTAAACCTACACATACAGACAAATATATCTATCCTTCTACTCACACCATCCAAAAAGTCATAAAAAGTCTGTTGCAAAAACATTACCAGAAATTTGCGACATGATAATTTGCATGTATACTAATTTGCATTTAACTTTCAGCATAATGGCCTTCAACTTTACTATAAAATACATATAGTAAATATACAAAACTTAAAAATGCCGTTGCCCTAGACCTTGCCTACTGTTTTCCGACGTCTAGATGGGTAGAGCAGCTGTTAAGAGACGTTTTGGTGACATTGCTCAAAGTTTTATCCGTGTTCTGTCAACGAACTTATAAAATCGCTCACATTGATTCGAATATCTCTATTCAGGTAGTTGATAAATTGACGTGTAATATACCAAAAAAAGATATTGTCTTTCGTATTTGCGTATAAACTTTTCTGTACGGCTCGGATTTTCACTGCAATCACTTTAAAAATATTATCAGTCTTATCAGGAACTTGAACAATACGAAGGCTATATTATATACACATTTGTTCACAATCAGTTGGCCGAACGTAGAAATACCTAAGGTAAGTAATTTGATCATTAAAACGTTGGGAAACGGCTGTTCTATTGACCCAGAGGTCGGGAAACAGTAGGCAAAGTCTAGGGTAACGGCATTTTTAGGTTTTGTATTATTTACTATATGTATTTAATAGTAAAAGTTGAAGGCCATTATTCTGAAAGTTAAATGCAAATTAGTATAAATGCAAATTATCATGTCGCAAATTTCTGGTAATGACTTTGTTTCAAAAAGCTGAATCGTTAACATCCAATCGCGTTACTAGGGACAACGAGCGTGATTATGTCTTCAGTGTACGGAAAGAGAACAATTATCCACGAAACTTTTTAAATGATTGTCTAAAATCCCCTGTCCTGACTAGATGCAATTCCTCAGAGGGTGATTCCTCAAAAACAGGTTTTGTTATACTGTAGTTCCATACATTCAGGGAATTGCAGAACCAATCAGGAGGATCCTGAATAATTGTGGTATAAAAGTTGCCATAAAATTATTTCAGACACTGGCACATATTTTCGCGAAACACAAGGATCGCGTAGCGACTAAACAGAAAACTCATGCTGTACACTCTATACCATGTGGTGATTGCGAGAAAGAATATCTGGGTCAAACAAAACGCCAGTTCGGCACACGTTTAAAAGAACATCAAAAGGCCGTTTCGAACTTAGACAGTTCAAAATCAGCCTTGGCGGAACACGTGTGTCAAACTATAACCATAACATTGGGTGGAACGATTCAAAAGTCATTACCATTAATGATCGTTATAGACAAAGGCGTTGTTTGGAAGTCTAGCTGGCATATTAATGCAAGTCTTTGTGCCCTAAATAGGGATGACGGAAGTTATTTGCCAAAAGAATATTTACATCTGGGGCCGGTTGTACGAAGGCTGGATAGCGCTATCCACCGGATAGTGATTTTTTAACGCTTCTAAAAATGCTTGAAAAGCAATAAAATTTGATCTTTGGAACGAAAAGTTATTAAAGAGGATTCTCACTTTAGGAATACTAAGATTTAATCAAAGTTATAGCCCAAAACAGGCGACTTTAAAGCAAGTGAGAAAATCACAATCCGGTGGATAGCGCTATCCGGCTGTCATACAACCGGCCTCTGATTCATAGATGTCGTAATTTTGAGAGTATATAAGACATATGAAGACACTAGACCGGAGTGTCGAAACGATGGGTCGTGAAAGTTAATCTTTGTGTGGTAATTACTTTCATTTATTAAAACCAGAGTAGTGATAATTACGATGGACTGTTGTGAGTGTTTTGTTCACAAATAAACGCACGAGCTGACCATACAATGAACGAAAAATGTCAATATGAGAAATTTCAAGTTCATTGTATGGTCAGCAAGTACGTTTATTTGTAAACAAAACACGAAGATAAAGTCTCTACTTTTAATATACAATCTGAGTTCATTGATTGCTGCATTGAAATCCAAACTTCGTTGCAATCTGTTATTTTTGAAAAAACTATGATTTTCTTGGGTTATTGCGAATAAACCACGATTTTGATGGGCTATTGCGAATGAATTACGATTCCCATGATCTGTCGCCAGGCAACAAGTGACAAGTGATTGATTTTGACCAGTCGCGTGAGTAGATTTAGGCCAATTCACAAAGATAAAGATTGTATATTAATACGCAATAACTTATATACAGTTATAAATCGTGCATTGCTGCAATGTCAGGTAGGGAACACGTTTGATTGTTTACTAACGAGTTTTCCTGAAGATTATAGCGATGAATGATGACGATGAAGTATTGAGTAGCTGAGGCCAGGGACTGACTCGTTTGATTTTTCAAAAGAGGCCCCTCAGATATTACAACAATGGATGAAACTTAGTGTAGGAATATTTAAAAATTTCTATATAATTATATAATATATACCTCGCCCGCTCTTGTCAGTTACATCTGTAGCATGCACTTATATAGTCCGCCTGTCGTTGACTATGACAGATGTATAAAGAACCACTGAAATAAGCAAATTTATAGTTACATATTACATGCACATGCATGCAACAGTGGTAGAGTAATTAGCCAATAAGATAATAGAGCTAGATAGCCTACATTATTATAGTTAAAATCAAACAAACCTGCTTTCTCTGCTGAATCAAACTGTTATCAAACAAAGATATTTAGCAGTTGCCTTAGCCAGAAAATGTCACATGCCATGCATGGGTGAAACTATTTCTCGTGACCCATGACCATGCCTGGTTGGACTTTGTTGCAGTGTATAGATTGCAATATCGCTTTACCATTCATATTTTTCTTAACCGGATTCGTCCTGTATGGAATATTCAGTTTTATTATATAATATGCAGTGTTTTATTGACGAATCCGTCATTTTCAATAATATCACATCACGATAATAACACATGTGCGATTATTATGATAACAACGCATGTGCGATTATCGCCGTGTTTGACCCACCGATCTGGAATCAGGAAGGGGGATAAAAAACTTTTCAAAAAACCCAGTTTTTTATTATATAAGAAACAGAATAACACATGGATGCTTGGAAATATGGAATTTATTTCTCGTGTTGAGAAAGATACTTCACTCGTTCGCTGTCCTCACTCGTTTGATATCATTCTCAACACTCGAAATAAATTCCATATTTCCGCGCATTCATGTATTATTCTCTATGACTATGAAATGCATTAATTTATTTAGGCCAGGGAAACCCCCGAATAAAATACTAGCATTTTTTTCCGTACTACGCCATAAGATAAATATGTGTCGGGCATTAAACGGATATTTTAAGTTAAGGCTGGTTTTCATATGTCATAAGACATAACTCATAATTCGATATAATAATATTATTTTCATATGTCGGACTTACACAACGATTTACAATGAATTTCGACATCCGCCAATATGCGTTGCTGTAATTAACTAATTAAGCTGCTATGTCCTTTACGAAAAGAAAATCAAACGTAACTCACGCTTAACATGAAGAAATAAAATTCATATTATATTTTCGAAGTAATATATAGTAGCCATCAACAAAAGTGCGAAGCTTTTAACAGCACGCTGGTTTAACAGCATGCACGCTGCGATTTCCGGTTTTTTTTTCACTATCAAAACAATGAAGACCGTATTTGGTGACAAAGATTGCTTACTAGACAGTTCATTTGAAAATTGCTTACTAGGCATTTGAAAATTGCTTACTAGGCGACCTTGGTTAGCCTCATAATTAATATTACATGTGTTATTAGTCTTCTGAAGTATGTCATTGGGCTTATCTTGTACACATTCACAACAAATAGAAAACGAGTTATGGTCTCAAATGTAAATAAACATTCAATTTCTGATTTTTTTATTCATTGAGTTCCCTAAAGTAATAAGGCAAAATTGCAAATCCAAGAAAAAGACTACTTATTATTTTTTTCTTGCGGTTCGAATTCATATTTTAGCGTTTCCTGCAATCTGATTGGCTACGCGAGCGGCCCGTATGAGGCCGTACGGACCGCGCGAGATTTAAAAGCACAGGGCCTATTTATTATTTACCAGTTTAGTCGATCCGTATAGGGAAATATTTCCGTCGGTCTCAAAAATGAGACCTTGGGAAATTTCCCTATACGGACCTCCAATCTGGTAAATAACATCTGGTATATATATATATATATATATATTAACATGAGCCCCGTGACGTTTAATGTCTGTCATATTCATCGAATCGGTTAGTTTTGCGATATTAGACTTACAGCCACAACAAACGTGGGACTTTACATTGCATAAGACTTAGCTAAATTATTAACATTATACAATAACTAAATTATTTACATTATATTTCAACTAAATTATTTACATTACATTATAAACATTATAATAGTAAGATATAGCAAAGTTTTTAAAAGTCATTAAAAAGGCACTTATTTAAAAATGCAGTTCATAAAGGCAATGTTCAGGATTGTTTATGGTCTTATTAAACAATGACCGATCTTTTTCCTTAATCATTTTGGCTAAGGAATATTTATTTGAGTGTATCCATATCGGAATGCCCGATTGAAGAACTTGTTCATTTTTTCAATATATTTCCGATCCCCATACTTCAATTCCATAGTGGAATAATGACAGAATTAAAGAGTCAAACAATTTAGTGAGCCCGCTTGGCGAATATCCATAAAACTTACAAACTCTCAGAATATACTGAATTCTACTTCCAGCCAGTGACAGCAGGCCATCTACCTGCTTATCCCAACAGCGTGGGTTTTCTTGGAAGGTGACAGCAGGGATGGCGCCAGGAATGCCCCGACACAGGGGCTAAGGTCCCCGACAGGGGGGCTGAATTCCTGGTTGTTATTTAATGTGTAATTGTAGGAATCACAGTTTTCGGTTTATTGCTACAGTCCCATGCCTTAGATTTAGAGCCTAGGCTCACGAGGCGCCACCTTGGTTGGCGCCGAGCGAGAAAATTTTTGAAATTTGATTGCTCTAGATCTTTGGAAATTAGCATTTCAGAGTCTTATCACGGACTTTTTCATGAAAATTTTTATGCTACAAACCATGTACAATGTAAAATACTAAGTTAAATTTTGAAGCAGTTTATCTGTTTTATTTTGGGGAACTAAAAACAATAGAGGGCGATTCAATATATCTCCCGTTCATTCCCCGACGAATTGTAAAATTTTCCCCGACAGGGGGGCTAGAGTTCCCCGACGCGGGGGCTGTAGCCCCCCCTGCCCCCCCTCTGGCGCCACCCCTGGGTGACAGCAAATAACTTTAGCCACTTTTTGCGTCGTATCCCATTAACAGACAGGGGAGGCGTAGCGAGAGAGCGATTGCATAATAACAATTCCCACGTTTTTTTAAGATTAAGTGTCATTCTATTATTCTCAGCCTAACTCTGAATGTTAGTTACCTCGTCTAAAGCTGAATCGCCAGATGATGTGACAGGGACGCTCACTGTTATATCATCGGCAAATTTGATCAAGTTGCTCGTTTGCGGGTGTTTAACTTTGATATCACTAACCATTATCGAAAACAGGAAGGGACCAAGCACCGTTCCTTGAGGTACTCCTCTATTCATGCTAACGAAGTTAGTAGCAATTCCATCTACCACAACTCTCTGCTTTCTATCCGATATGAAATTAATTAACCAATTGATGACGTATGGGTTAAGATTTGTTGATTTGAGTTTCTGCGTCAAAATATCGTGGGGAACGCTGTCGAACGCTTTGCTAAAATCAAAGGATATTACACGGACCCAATTAGCCTTATCGTCTAGCCATTTTAGCCAATGATGCTGACACTTTATGAGAGCTGCAGTAGTGTTCAAGCTTTCCTCATTAGCATACTGATGTTTATCGATAATTAGTTTTGAAGGATAACGAATTTCTTCTTCAAATACAATCCTTTCCAGAAGTCGTATAACAACGTTAGTTAATGATATCGGTCTTAGCTGATTGCATTCCGTTAACGGAGACTCCTTTGGCAGTGGGTTTAAATTTGCCAGTTTCCAAAGAGTAGGTACGCGCTGCTGTTTTATAGATGAATTTAATACATTTGCGATAACTGGTGCAAGATAAAAGGCAAAATCTCTCAAGACCCAATACGGAATACCATCCGGACCAGCTGACGTTTGTTTTTGTCTCTTCATGCATATGAAATTTTTAACAGCTTCAATATCGATAGTTGAGATTTGAGTTCCTTCAGGAATTCTCAACGGGACAGGTCTCACGTACTCTTTATCGGTATTTATTTCTTGAAAATGTAAATTCATTTGTTCTGGATCAATAATATTGCTGATATTTTCTGACCTAGATCGTCTTCCAGTAATTTGATTGACGGTTTTCCACCATCTGCGAGAACCTTCTTTGCCTTTAGTTTTATCATTTTGAATAGCTTTTACTTGATTTTCTCGGATTAGTTTATTTATCTTCTTCTGCAGTTCAGTATTCGCGCCTTTTTTGAGTTCTCTATTCCGAAAATTGCACAGATGCTTTACAAGAGGAGACAGGAACGGTGGGTCACGAGTCGACATTTTAACCTTGATCAAAGGAAAGCACTCATTAACATATTAGAGAGAGTTTCATTTAATAAATCAACTCCTTTATTAACATCGTCAAGGTAATCTGATAGAAAGTCGAGCAGATCTGATTCGTTGTAAATTGGATCTGGTGGATGGTACAGTGCAGCGACGCAATAAGAACTGTTACTGGTTTGAATCTCACACCAGATACATTCAAAGTTGTTATCAAGGTCGACGTTCGTAATTATCCAATCGTTTCTACATAATATAGCGACTCCGCCACCAGACCGAGAATCTCGATCCTTGCAAACTATGGAATAGCCCTTGGACAAATAAGCGAGGAGGGAATTAATGAAGCCATGTTTCTGTAATAAAACAGACATCTATATCGTTCTGAACAAGCGCAGCAGTCAACGCAGGTAAGGCATCACGTTTAGCCAATAAACGGGCATTAATAACCATACATTTTGGAATTATTTTTCCTTGAGGAGGTCCATTTTTGAGTATTTTAATTGTTTTCAAATTAATAGAATTGCTTCTCCACTGTTTCGCCTCCCCTTGTCTGTCAATATGTTGGGGAATAATATGCTTATACTTCATAGAATAATTAGACCGTCTAGTGATACGAACTGGAATATTTTGATAGCTGGACGTATAAACGAAGTTGTTTAACTTCTCATAACTCGTTGTACAAGGCTTTAGATAATCTGTCCATTCTTTTGACCTGAAAGGGCGACTCTGTAGAATGTGTTGATTCTTTCAACGTCGCTTGCGAAAAGGAGCATGATTGTAATCATTAGCACTACCATACAAGTTGCCACTGGATGATGTTGGCTTGTGGTATATTATATATATTATTATATTCTATAATGGCTATCAAAACTCATCTTTTGGTCAATCAGGAGCCAAACCATCAAAGTGTTTATGATTAGCAATTAAACCCAACTGATTGAAGAAAATGCGTTGGTGGTTTAATTTTGTTTAATTTTATGGGAAGTTCCAGTATCATGAATGAATTAAGAGTAAGTGGCTGAGGTCAACTTCAAACCTTCAGGCACACGGAGGGGAACAACGAGAAACTCCAATTATTCCGCCCTCAAATCATAAGCCCTCCCCCACCTTGTTGAACCTCAGCCTGTCTGGACAATTATCACTATTGACAACCCATCCTTTAGCCCTACCATCAGGCCCATCTACTGACGCTCTTGACTCGTCAGTGAAAGGAACAAAATTCATGTCGGTCTTCGTGCATTTTCTTAATCATCCTATCCGCAAAAGTTTGTGTCTAA